ATATCCAAAATGTCTGGCCGTGGAAAAGGTAAAGCAAAGGGCACCAAGTCCAAGACTCGATCATCCCGTGCAGGGCTTCAGTTCCCCGTCGGTCGTATCCATCGTCATCTCCGCAAAGGCAACTATGCTCAGCGAGTTGGTGCTGGTGCCCCAGTGTACTTGGCTGCTGTACTCGAGTACCTGAGCGCTGAAATCCTCGAGTTGGCTGGTAATGCTGCCCGTGACAACAAGAAGACCAGAATCATCCCTCGTCACTTGCAATTGGCTGTCAGAAACGACGAAGAATTGAACAAGCTTCTCGGTGGAGTCACCATTGCTCAAGGTGGTGTTCTTCCAAACATCCAAGCCGTCCTTCTGCCCAAGAAGACCGAAAAGAAATCATCTTCTTAAGCAGTTTACTGCACACACATTAAAACAACGGCTCTTTTAGGAGCCACCACATGAATCGAAAGATCATGACCAAATGCTTTTTAATACAAATTGTTCCTTTAACATTCATAAAATCAATGAAAGTTAGGATCTTACCTACTGCATCTCAGTCCTGGTCTATTAACATTTGATAGCCTTGAAAAAATGGCGGGAAATTCAAGCGTCAATATATTTTAGCCCTGCGTGTAGTACATACACTTCAAAACTAAAGCTTTGCGATGTTCGTTTTAGCATCGTCACCCTACTACTAGTGGATTAACGTCYGAAGCGTCAGTAAGTTACTTCACCTACTTCTTTTACGGTGTTAAATTTATCTTTTTGCACAACAGTTTCTTTAGAAACACCGACGCAGCTCATAGTTTACCGCTAGTTCCCACCATTTCTACTATTAGTGTTACTATTTTGACCCAAATCTTACGGTGTATAACCTGTATACCAGTATCATTTTATTGTAATTTTTATTAACTATATGTATGTCGAATGCAAGTGTTGGTATATTCCGCTGCGCGCAAACTTTTACAAAGATTCAACTGAACACTTTTAAGTGTTTTTTTTTTAAGCTTTTACTTAAAAGTATGAAGCAAAATGTKATTGGCTTTATATCATGTGGTGGCTCCTAAAAGAGCCGTTGTTTTTAAGATGATCAAATCATCTAACCACCAAATCCGTACAGAGTACGTCCTTGGCGTTTCAAAGCGTAGACAACGTCCATGGCAGTGACGGTCTTTCTCTTGGCGTGCTCGGTGTAGGTAACAGCATCACGGATCACGTTCTCAAGGAAGACTTTAAGGACGCCTCGGGTCTCTTCGTAGATCAAGCCAGAAATACGCTTGACTCCACCACGACGAGCAAGACGACGGATGGCGGGCTTGGTGATACCCTGGATGTTATCCCGAAGGATCTTACGATGACGCTTGGCGCCTCCTTTTCCTAGACCTTTTCCTCCTTTGCCTCTACCAGTCATTTTCGAGTAGTTTAGTTCGCTAACGTAAACGGAATGAAGTTGAATAGCAAGTGCGCGTATTTTGAATTGGAAAGCCGAACCGAATTGGAAACACCCCTTTCACGCACACTGATTACTCTTTGCATATATACATATTCAAAACAAGCGCTGCTCTTATACGAAACTCTCTCACAACTAGCAATCAAAGCAGAAGACAGATCAAATATAATCCAATCTGAATAAAGTGATCTCACAACATGTCATTCTCAATAGAAATGTCTAAAGTTTCACAGTGAAATCAGTAGATATTTGACATTTTTCCTCGTGTAAAAACACAGTTAATGACGCGTTAAGAAAATCATAAATGTTAATATATGCAGACTTTGATCCTGCTATGGTCTCATTTCGGTATACTGTGTAAAAACCTGGCAGCTCTTCGCCATGAAATATCGACTAGTTTCATAAAATTAGGTTTGAACCTTCCTCAGAAACCTTTAGAGCGAATTGCGCGCGTAAAAGTTTTTTATTTCACCATTTTTCCAAAGAAAACGAGCTTTTCATCGCACAAACAAACACAATATTCACTTCATACCAGCGAGATGAATGAGTAGTCAACCAATCAGATTCATGAATCACGGTCCAATCATGTCTCAGCGCGCGAGGTATAAAAACATTGATACATCTCCGAGATTGCATTATCGTTGGAAAAGAAATTTTCAAAGATGGCTCGTACAAAGCAAACCGCTCGTAAATCAACCGGAGGAAAGGCTCCCCGAAAACAACTCGCCACCAAGGCAGCACGTAAAAGTGCCCCAGCAACTGGTGGAGTSAAGAAACCTCATCGTTACAGRCCYGGTACAGTCGCTCTTCGTGAGATCCGTCGTTACCAGAAATCTACCGAGTTGTTGATCCGCAAGCTGCCCTTCCAGCGTCTCGTCCGTGAAATCGCTCAGGACTTCAAGACCGATCTTCGCTTCCAGAGCTCTGCTGTCATGGCCCTTCAGGAGGCTAGCGAGGCTTACTTGGTTGGTCTGTTCGAGGACACCAACTTGTGCGCCATTCACGCCAAGAGAGTCACCATCATGCCCAAGGACATTCAACTTGCCCGCCGAATCCGTGGCGAGAGAGCTTAAGCTAATTCTCAATCAAACAAAACAACGGCTCTTTTAGGAGCCACCACATGCTTATAGAGTCAATGACTTCAACATGCTAACGATTTATGTCTTCCTAATGTGGTGCGCGCTGCACTTTTTCAGTTTAACCAACGAGAACAAAACTAGCATGGTCTTACAATCACTAAAAAATCCTGCTTTTCATTTCTGAATTATATTATTAAGGTCCTTGCTTTCTTACAAAAAGCCTGTGATGATTATGTATGCCGTGACAGTATTTTAAATGCACACTTATACCTCTTCCATGTGTCACCAATGAGGCGGCGATAGTTTTGTTTTATTTCCCAAAGGACGTTTAGTTGAAGACGAAGATGTCTTTCTCATTAATGTCCGAATATCGAAATAACTGAAAATGGACTCTAATAAGCAATATTCAAGAGTGAAAAGGATTTCCTTTCTTTTTCAATTAACGTTTTTTACTCTTACAAGTCAAATTGATGGTTCGCTCAAATAGCAGGGAGTTTTCTCTGTTTCTTTGCAAATTCCAGCACATTCAACTTCTCCTCGTAAACATTTCTGTTATATGACTGTCTTGTTTTCACAGGTTTCAACTTCTTGTGTTTATAAGGTGGGATGATGTTGGTATAGGAGAAACTATACGACCTAGAAATCATGTGCTGGTGTATAATGTTCCTGAGATCACGTGTCAACTCGTACTTCTTTGCAAGTTTTTGTGCTTTTACCTCTTTCTCTTCTAAGCTCAGACCGCTGGTCAGAGACATCGAGGAATTCAAACGCGCCATTTCAAGTGAGCCGACAGAAACTCTAGACAGTGTTTCAGAATCATTGTTTGTTTTTTCTGTGCTATCTTGAACGCGCTCGTCAACATCAGTAGTGCAGGTAGACTGCTGATCTGAGACAGGCATCCATGTGGTGTCGGTTTCATCGTCAAGATGAGTCATGTCGTATGTGTTACTAGGGCAACGATAAGCGGTAGTGGCTAATGATGAAATAACTCTCTCTTTTCTGATCTCATCACGAATGTCGCCTTCATCTAGTTTTAAATCATGTAATTTACTTGTCATTTTGATAAGACGCTCATGTTGTCTACCGGCTTGTATTGTCTTTGTCTTGATTTTAGTCTTGTAACTTTTCTTTATCTTTTCCCTCTTTAGTTTTTGTTTTACTGAAAGTTTTTCGTCCAACTGTTTGACTTTTGAATGTATTTCACTMGTCGATCTGGCTAATCGTTTTCTGTTCTCRTATGGAGTATACTCCGCGCTACCTTTTCTCGCACTATCTTCTTTAATTCCTTTCTCAACTTTCTTTAATTCTTTCATCAGTTTCTTTTTCTCACTTTTGAGTTTTTGCAGCTGTGTTTTCTTCTTYTTTGCAGTTTTCTTTCTCGGTTTTAGAGGCAAGACTTCCATTTCACTTGGGTTTTCTTTAAGAAGGGAAGACAAGTCAATGGTTTTTCGTTCCTCTGCTTCATCCTTCTKTGTAGTCAGTTTTGTCACGTTGTCMTGATTACTGCTGGTAAAGCGGACTTGTTTTGCCGACAAAGACATACTTTTGACTTATAATCAAGCAAACACTACAGTCTGCGCAAATAAAATCATATCAGTGTATTAAGCTGTATAACCGCTCTCTCTGAGCGATAGGTTCATGTACCCTATTGATATACAGGTTGCCATAGCAGTTGATGTATACTTCATAAATTTATAACTAAGTTTTCTTGAGGCTAAGAGGACCAATCAATTCGAACACTGCAATCTTTCAAAAGTCAATGTAAAATAWAATACATTTGACACATTCAATATTTACACMTTGTTAATAAAAGGATKTGTTGTTTTTCTCTCGTTGCAAAATTGACGATATAACGTTAAAAAATGTTTATGATATTTTCTTGGACGTGATTATTTTGACATGCCAGACTTTGTGCAGGTGAGTAGTGATCCATTATCATAATCAGTGAAAACTATAACCGCTCAAGTTAATGCACATTCGTACCACCTGCCATACATTGTCGATATTCATGAAATATATTGTGAAATCGCAAGTATTTTAGAACCTAAACGATTCAGATGAACGCACATGAGATAGGAATATCAGTACTGATTGCAGAATTAACACCCAGAAAACATGGAGCATTAGTATTTATGTCAAGTAATATGTTTGGCTTGAGAGTTGTTTTTAAAATACGTGACTCGTTAAAAATATTATTTCGCCTTTGTAATTGTACCATAAGTGCATTACTGACCTCCAGCGGATTTCCTTAAGCAAAATAGGTATGATATAGAACTAGAGGTTTTAATATTTGTTTGGCATCCGGTTGTAAACACAGCAGTGCATTTGATGAAAATGAAGTCGTGAAGTCGCAGTATAATAGATTAATATGATTCCATCATCATYACTATCATCATCATTTTGCATTCTGATCATTTACACATTCGTTTTATTTCTCGATTTTGTTACCTATGGATTTCAGTGAAGTGAATTTAGAATAGTGTTTGACAGATGGCTAATTTCTCTAGTAGGGGGAGCGCTCGGCCCTTCAGGCTATCTTTGATTTGGGATTCCTGTGTGTTTTGATCAATTTGACCGATACTCGTGAACAAAGATTCATCTTCATTCACTGCCATAAATATAATGACATTCTAGAGAATATGGAACTATAAAAAATGTAACAAAAGTAGATGTTTTAAGATGAACTGACCTAGTGACCTTTGAAACGGCAGTCATTTAACTTAGCTTTATAAATCTCTTACTTCTCTTACTTTATACAACTTACTTGTATCGAATTTTAAAGTGAGGAGGTATTTCCAAGACAATGTAGCTCATCACTGAGTTATCCAACATCAAAATAGTATTAACTACAGGCAGACGAAATAACATTTAGCTAAATTAGATCGAGAAAATAACAGCTTTTGAAGCCATGTGAGTGCTGTCACAACTAGCAAGCGTACAACAAACACCTCCAAATATCGTACTTACCAAAAGAATATCAACTYCTTTCCTCATCCAGGCATAAATAACACAYTTAAGAYTAGGAATTAGACCTAATTGACTTTTAACTATTACAGTTCTTATGTAAATAAATGCTTGACGAAGTTTTCTCTCGTGTTCTGAGATAAATTCGATTCAAAGTATCAAATGAATTTCCCGCCCTTTACTCGCACGCGCGCGTCTACCTAATAAGGAAATATCACCTTATTTGGAGATTAGAGAATGTTTTTATATTACAAAATTACTAATTACTAAAAAAAAGTATGGAAAAAAACTTTTGTAAACCACGAACATCAGAAAACAGACAAAACAAACTGGTGAGTTATATACCATGTCACTTTAAAGTAATTTCCGTTTTACAATCTCTGAATAAAAGATAAGTAATACGCCTAATTCAATTTATGTTATCGTTAGCTAGTGTTTTTCTAAGTTTAGCGTAGCAGGATTAGCGCTAAATAGGATAAAAATAATCCCTCTAATCCCTTTCTCATTAATTTTTAATGTTTGGGTTACCTGTGGATTACGTCACATATATACTTGTAAACAAGCCCGCTGGTCATTTAGTAGCCCGCAATGTTACCAAGAAGAACATTTTGAGTCTGATAAGAAATCGTCTGAAAAATCATTTAAAAATGGCTTCTGGAGGTTACAAATCGGACGACCAGGACATTMAAGATGAGCAAGAAGAAACTGCTAGGACAGATGTGACAGAAAGTGATACTGAAGGAGTTTTTCGTACTTTTTTATATCATCGATTTCAAGAGGAAACGGAGAGAGGAGACGACGACSTACGATTTGACAGAGCACGCTCAGACGCTTTGGAAGAGCTTCGTTCCTGCAATGACGAACGACGACAGCATATTACTCGAATTGGACAACGTCTAGGTGAAGTTGGGGACGAAATAGATGCTAAATATAGAGACCAATTTCACGAAATGATCGAGCAACTTTCTCTTACATCAGACACTGCTTACGAAACTTTCGCCGCAGTTACGCGACGGTTGTTTAGATCTGGGATAAATTGGGGAAGAATTATCGCTCTTTTGTGTTTTGGATATGAAATAGCGATGACAGTTATTCGCCGAGGATTCAGCGGCAGCTTTTTACGAAGGATTATTCGTTTTGTTGTTGACTTTGTTTTTCGTGAAAGGATTGCCGTATGGATTGCTGAACACGGTGGCTGGGTAAGTGAAAACTACATGCCTTTTCATGTATCAGTTTAGAAAMATTGTTTGGTCGCTACGTACAGCAGGGATTCACTGATTTCCGTTTGATATTTTGAATCAACCATGAGATTTCTAATGAATTCACACAGTACGAAAGTATATGTGGTTAGTGTSTGCCATCTTTGAATTTTGTATGCTTTATTTGCAGTTTGTAATTTCTAAGAATTATTCCTTGAAGTGTTTAATAAAATTTGAGTTTTCTTAACTAAAACTAAAGCGATTAAAATAAAAATTTCTGTGAATATAATTGCTTAAAATGAAATTAACAGAATATTGAAAAAATGAGACAAAAATGTTTAGTGGAAGATTGAAAAATCTAGGAAATGAAAGATGATAGTGAATGTATTGTAGACTAAAAATTATGCTTGCAAACTGTATGATTCATTTTCTACTAATGGGTGAGAAAACAGGAAGGAAGCATCAGCTTGTATATACCATAGTTTACTTAATTATAATCATGCTTAATTTTCTGAAAAGAAAACTCTTGACTTGTATGGCCTCATAAAATGCTTAAGACACTCTTTATTATTCATACCTTTATTATAAAGAGTGTTTTTTTTTTGGCAAAAATTCCAATAAAAAAAGAGTGCATAGAGTTTTGATCAAAATTCTGACAATTTATGGATTTTCGATATTATTCAAACCAACTATGTTTTTCTAAAAAAGTGAAAAAAATGTAAATATCTAAAAAAGAGATGACTAAATGTTCATTGTATAAGTGCTTCAAATCCAACCAATCTGTTTTTCATTTCACTGATCTATGACTATAATTTCAATCAACAGAGATCAGCACTGGACTTTCGTCTATCTGAACCAAGTTGGTACACTGTTGGTACAGTAGTAGTTATTGGCGTACTTGTATCCATTTGGGCTTCACGAGGAATAAACAAATGATCTCCATATGAACATTTTACAATGGATAGTTTGAATATTCCAAATCTTGACTGTACATAAGAGTTTTTCAAAATTCCCTATTTGTCTGTAAATTAGGCTTTTATAATATGGCAATTGTTTTGTTTGATTTTGTTTTGTTTATAAAGAAAATTCTATTTCCACAGAATAAATAGATTATGTCTCTTTTGAATTCTAGTTTTCT